TCCTCTGTGGCTCTGACTGTGTCTGAAAGAGCTGCTATCTCTCTGCTCAGAGCCTCCATCTTCTCCTTCATCATCTGACTCTTCTGCTCCTCTTCCTCCCTCAGTGCAGCCATCCTGGCCTCCTCTTCCTCCTCTAGAAATAGGTGAAGCTTCTTAAACTGCTCCTTAATCTGCCTCTCTGTGTGTCGGGCCTGGACCTTCATGTGTTCTGCTGTTTGATCAAACTCCTCTTTAACTTGTTCACAAACCTTTAACTTCTCCTTTAAGGGCTCCAGAGTTTCCTGAAGTTCCTTCTTGTGTTGTCGTGCAGCTTCATTGATGGGTCTGAATCTGTGGTTGCTGTGTTTTTCTGAATCTCTGCAGATGACACACACTGGCTGCTGATGGTCCAGACAGAAGAGTTTGAGTTTCTCAGAGTGCAGACTGCAGAGAGCCTCTGAAGCTCTCTGATCTCTCTCCTGTAAGAAGGCCTCACACAGGTTCTTTAACACCAGGTTACGAGGTGGATCATCCTTTGAAGATCTTCTGTTACAAACTGGACACTCAGGTGCTTGTTTTTCTCTCCACCAGCTCTTCAGACAGACTTTACAGAAGCTGTGGCTACATGACAGAAGAACAGGATCTCTGAAGACCTCCTGACAGACCGGACAGCAGAGATCCTCCCCTGATCTGGAAGCCATTTTGTCTCTGAAGCTGAAACCCAGCAGACAGAAAGTACAGTCAGTCATGGCTCCCCTCCCTCCTCTACTTTAATGTTATGTTTTTAGTCAAACTCACCTTCAGTGTGTGGAGCGTCAGCAGGTTGAAGCAGCAGTGTTGTAGTTTTCCACTTTTCTCTCCTGTAGCTGAACTCACTCAGAGGAACTTGTTAGTTTGGTCTGAAGGTGAATCTGATCGTCTGTTTTTCACTCTGTGTCTCTGTAGTGAGGACGAATGAGAAGCTGTTTCCTGGTTTGTCTCAGGTGAGTCAGGTGGGGGGTTGAACTTTGTCAGACCTCCTCTGCTAACAGCTGTTGCTTGACCTATAAACCTGGGTGCGCTTCATTCCAGTACTGAGTCACTGCTGATAGCAGGCAGCAGGCTGTTGCTACTGTATGTTATTTAGAAGTACTTTCGATGTAATGGAGGAGTTAAAATAAAATCCCCAGGAATATTCTGGCAATTGGGGACTATGGAACATCAAGAAAGATGTGTAAAGTGAAATATTGTTGCAGAGGGGAAGTGTGTAACAAAAGAGGTACCACAGAATATCATAGAACAACAGGTACCAAGATATGGAGCTGTGCCAGCTTTACTTGTGATTTGTTCGATGTGACTGGGCTCTGGCTGCAGGACATGTATACCAGTTCTTTCAAGGAAGAGGTGTGTGTGTTTACCTGCTGGTAGAAGTAGGATGGCCTTGACACTAACAGATTTGCCTTTGGTTGTTTTCATAAACGCATTTGACTTTTACACAGCATCTGGCTGGACAGACATTTGGGTAATGACCGTCTTCCTGTCAGTGATGACTCATGAGAGGTCAACCAGTCAGCAGCAGGAGCGAACAAGAGCTCTGCCGGCGTCACAGGACACATTTGTGGAGCATTTGACTCGTCGGCTTCTTTGCTGAGACCTGTAGAGATATGAGGACTCTCCTGTGATTTTACTGATGATACAGTTTCAATGGGTGAACTTCCAGCCACAGGAGTGATCAGACAGTAATCTATACACACTGTGAGAGCCTTTTTGTTTAAGGTTTGTGATTGTTGTTGGTAAACCTCCCGCCACCAGGGGGAGCCAGTGGCCAGAGTTCATTTTATCAAGGTGCAACAGGGCACAGGTGTTGGTCTTGGTTGGCAAAAGGTCTCTGCACACATAATCAAACTTACTAAAAGTTAGGAGAGCCTTCCTATGAAAGTATTCATGTTAAATGACGTGCTGTCATTAGACGCTGCTGAGAGAGAGAGAGAGAGAGAGAGAGAGAGAGAGAGGGGAGGGAGGCAGCCTACACAAAGGTGATGTTGCTATAGACTAAATGAAAAATGGTACAGATATTTATAGTAGTTTTAATGGTAACAGTCGTAATGTTAATGATTATAATAACAATAATAACAATAGGACTAGCAACAATAGTCGTTGCAGCAGAGGGTGTCGAGCAGGAACACGGGGGCAGCAGGTGACCCGCAACCACAGATCCAGACTCCACAGCTCCAGAGCCAGAAAACACCTGCAGGAAGTGATAGGAGGAGAGAGGAGAGAGACGAGAAAGCACAAGACTACCGGAAAGGGGAGAAGTTGTGTTAGTAACATGCAATAATGGGATGAGGTTGCATACAGAGGGAGAGAAAGTAGAGGAGAGAGGAGCTCAGTGCATCATGGGAAATCCCCCGGCAGTCTAGGCCTATAGCAGCATAACTAAGGGATGGTTCAGGACTCACCTGAGCCAGCCCTAACTATAAGCTTTATCAAAGAGGAAAGTCTTAAGCCTACTCTTAAATGTGGAGATGGTGTCTGCCTCCTGAACCCAAACTGGAACCTGGTTCCACAGGAGAGGAGCTTGATAGCTGAACGCTCTGGCTCCTAGTCTACTTTTGGAGACTCTAGGAACCACAAGTAACCCTGCATTCTGGGAGCGCAGTGCTCTGGTGGGGTAGTAAGGTACTATGAGCTCTTTAAGATAAGATGGTGCCTGACCATTAAGAGCTTTGTAGGTAAGAAGAATGATTTTAAATATTATTCTGGATTTTACTGGAAGCCAATGCAAAGAAGCTAAAACAGGAGAAATATGATCTCTTTTCCTGGTTCCTGTCAGAACACGTGCTGCAGCATTCTGGATCGGCTGAAGAGTCTTAACTGACTTTTTTGAGCAGCCTGATAATAAGGAATTGCAGTAATCCAGCCTAGAAGTAACAAATGCATGGACTAGTTTTTCTGCATCATTTTTAGACAGGATGTTCCTGATTTTTGCAATATTACGTAGGTGAAAAAAGGCGGTCGTTGAAATTTGCTTAATGTGAGACTTAAACGACATGTCCTGATCAAAGATAACTCCAAGATTCCTCACAGTGGTGCTGGAGGCCAGGGCAATGCCATCCAGGGAAACTATATCTTTAGATAATGCGTCACAGAGGTGCTTAGGCCCCAGAACAATAACTTCAATTTTATCTGAGTTTAACATTAGAAAATTACAGGTCATCCAGGTTTTAACATCCTGAAGGCACATTTGAAGTTTAGCTAACTGATGAGTTTCATCTGGCTTGATCTATAGATATAACTGAGTATCATCTGCATAACAATGAAAGCTTATGGAATTTTTCCTGATAATATTGCCTAAAGGAAGCATATATAAAGTGAAGAGGATTGGTCCGAGGACAGATCCTTGAGGAACTCCATGACTAACTTTGGCATGCATGGAGGACTCATCGTTAACATGTACAAACTGAAATCGATCCGATAAATAGGACTTAAACCAGCTTAGAGCGGTTCCTTTAATGCCAATGAAATGTTCCAGTCTCTGCAATAGGATCTGATGGTCAATGGTATCAAATGCAGCACTAAGATCTAATAAAAGCAGTACAGAGACAAGTCCTTTGTCTGATGCAATAAGGAGGTCGTTAGTAATTTTCACCAGTGCTGTCTCTGTGCTATGATGAGCTCTAAATCCTGACTGAAAATCCTCAAATAAACTATTGCTCTGTAGAAAGTCACACAGCTGTTTAGCAACTGCTTTCTCCAGAACCTTAGAGAGAAATGGAAGGTTAGATATAGGTCTATAGTTGGCTAAAACATCCGGATCAAGTTTGGGCTTTTTCAGAAGAGGTTTAATTACAGCTACTTTAAAGTACTGTGGTACATAGCCTGTTGATAAAGATAGATTGATCATATCTAGTATAGAGGTGCTGACTAAGGGTAAAACATCTTTAAGCAGCCTAGTCGGGATGGGGTCTAAGAGGCAGGTTGATGGTTTAGATGAAGAAATTATTGAAGTTAGTTGGTAAAGATTGAGGGAAGCAAAACAGTCTAAACATGTATCTGGTTCTACAGCTGTTTCTAAGGTTCCTGAGTTAAGAGATAAGTCGGTGCCAGTTGAGGGCAGGTCTTTGTGAATTTTGTCTCTAATAGCTAGAATTTTATCATTAAAGAAGCTCATGAAGTCGTAACTACTGAGAGCTATGGGAATACTTGGCTCAATAGAGCTGTGACTCTCTGTCAGCCTGGCTACAGTGCTGAAAAGAAACCTGGGGTTGTTCCTATTTTCCTCTATTAATGACGAGTAGTACGCTGCTCTGGCATTACAGAGGGCCTTCCTATAAGTTTTAAGACTATTTTGCCAAATTAAACGAGAATTTTCCACTTTGGTGGAACGCCAATTCCTCTCAAGTTTCCGCAATATTTGCTTTTATTTGCGAGTTTCAGTATTATACCATGGAGCTAACAGTTTTTGTTTTAGTATTTTCTTTTTTAGAGGGGCTACAGAGTCGAGTGTCATTCGCAGCGAGCCTGCAGCACTATCAACAAGATGATCGATTTGGGAGGGACTGAAATTAGCATAGGAGTCCTCCGTTACTTTGTGACTAGATAATGTATTTAGAGCTGATGGAATCGCATCCTTAAATTTAGCTACAGCACTATCAGACAGAAATCTTTAAGAAGACTTTAAGAAGACTCCCGAACGGCCTATTGTTAGTCTTATTTATTGCTGATGTTCTTCTCATGCAAATGTAGCTGTACAATCAGAGGCAGAGTCCTGCACAGGGGAAGCTGCCTGACTCAAACTGAGGAGGCAGGTGTCATCCTAAAGTTTCTCGAAGGTCTTCAGTATAATCTGATTCTCTTTCTACAACAAAAACACTTTTAGTAGTAAAATAACTGCAAAAAATCTTTCTCAAGGTCCCGGGCTGAATTTCAGTCCCACTACATCTCTGGCTGTTAAGTTGCATTATTGTATATTATGTAGGTCACGTAAGTTACAGCGACTGAGACGGTGGAGAAGCTATAACGTTACCTGAATATCAGTTTAATAAGGTACAAGGTTGTTTATTTGTCGTTATACGTAAAAAAATTTATACAGAGCCCCAAGTCAAAAAGATTTGAGAGCCGCTGGTTAAATCTACAATAAGTCGTGTTTAATGAGCCTTGTGTGTTTTTTAATGTAAAATCTTAACCTTAGTTTGACAGAGTTAGATTGTAGTAAGTTACATCAGTGTAGTGAATTGTTCTTCCACTGTGTTGTTGTCCTGCACCAGGATCAAAAGTTATAGTCTTTTTTTTATACAGAACTCCCATTACAGAATAATATAGTTTATCACTAGATTATAATTATTGATGCATTAATGTTTGAGCATCACTAATGGCTCATCTGGACTAAAGAAAAGAACATCTCAAAAACTATCACATCTAGTATTGGATGAGTAAAAGTATGACCACTGACAGATAACAGGAAAATGTAAACCAAGTATGTTTAACTTTGTCACTGTTTCTGCACCACAGTCCAGTATAAACCACATAATACAAGCAGATTTACAAAGGCATAGTCAGGTGAGGGTCAAGACTCCTCTCCACTTTGTTAAAACAAGCGTCCTTAGGTTGATGGATGCAGATCAAACGCTGTAACGCTCACACTGCGGCACATGCTTTATAGTGAGCATGTGAAAGTGTCTTCATAATTAAATTGTTAAAGAGGGAAAGAAAATATAGTCGACCGGTGTGCAGATCAAACACGTAACCTAAGTAAGCTAACTCTACCAACTGAGCTAATCACTGTTTGTTAGGATTTCACAGTTGTCATTGCGACTGGATGATATATAATATATAAAGTAATAATAATACATCATGAATATAATCATCCTCTTTATCTCTAGCTGCTCTGTTCCACTGTCACACAGACCTTCACTGCTGACAGCTTCAACTCATCCAAAGTTTCAATATATGGAAACATCCTCTCAGTGAAAGTGTGTGTGAAGGTGTGTATGTGTGTTAGTATCAGGATCAGAGAACGACAGCTTTCCTCTGTTCCAGTCCAGATTCACTCTGATCCTCTGGAGCTTCTTCTGAACGCTGAGATCAGTGAGTGGAGCTGATGGTGACCATGCTGAGTATTTACCTTCATAGAAAACTATTACCCATAATCCTGACTTTATGTTGTCTCCCTTCCTCTGAACAGACTCTGCTGACACACCCAGTCCCCAGCCTGTACTGTCTCCAACCTCGACATCCCAGCTGTGAGTCCCTGAGTTAAAGCCTTCAGAGCCCAGGACAGAGAGGTAACTATCAACCCTCTCTGGATTGTCAGGAAGCTGCTGTCTCTCTCCTCCTCGTCTCACACTGGTCAGATCTTCAGACAGGATGAGATATGGACCAGCAGTGTTTGGGTCCAGAATGAGAGGAGTGTAGGAGACCATGTCCTTCATCTTGTTCCAGATGTTGAAGGCCAGGTTGCCCAGGTGTTTGGCCTGGTCTATCAGAGCTCCTGAGGGCAGCTGTGGATCATCCAGCAGGGGGCGCTGCTGGACTCTTTCCACTGCAGCCTTGTAGTTGAGCAGGAATGAGACGTCTTCAGCTCTCAGCTCCTCCTCTGTGGCTCTGACTGTGTCTGAAAGAGCTGCTATCTCTCTGCTCAGAGCCTCCATCTTCTCCTTCATCATCTGACTCTTCTGCTCCTCTTCCTCCCTCAGTGCAGCCATCCTGGCCTCCTCTTCCTCCTCTAGAAACTGCTGAAGCTTCTTAAACTGCTCCTTAATCTGCCTCTCTGTGTGTCGGGCCTGGACCTTCATGTGTTCTGCTGTTTGATCAAACTTCACTTTAACTTGTTCACAAACCTTTAACTTCTCCTTTAAGGGCTCCAGAGTTTCCTGAAGTTCCTTCTTGTGTTGTCGTGCAGCTTCATCGACGGGTCTGAATCTGTGGTTGCTGTGTTTTTCTGAATCTCTGCAGATGACACACACTGGCTGCTGATGGTCCAGACAGAAGAGTTTGAGTTTCTCAGAGTGCAGACTGCAGAGAGCCTCTGAAGCTCTCTGATCTCTCTCCTGTAAGAAGGCCTCACACAGGTTCTTTAACGCCAGGTTACAAGGTGGATCATCCTTTGAAGATCTTCTCTTACAAACTGGACACTCAGGTGCTTGTTTCTGTCTCCACCAGCTCTTCAGACAGACTTTACAGAAGCTGTGGCTACATGACAGAACAACAGGATCTCTGAAGACCTCTTGACAGACTGGACAGCAGAGATCCTCCTCTGATCTGGAAGCCATTTTGTCTCTGAAGCTGAAAACCCAGCAGACAGAAAGTACAGTCAGTCATGGCTCCCCTCCCTCCTCTACTTTAATGTTATGTTTTTAGTCAAACTCACCTTCAGTGTGTGGAGCGTCAGCAGGTTGAAGCAGCAGTGTTGTAGTTTTCCACTTTTCTCTCCTGTAGCTGAACTCACTCAGAGGAAGCTGTCAGTTTGGTCTGAAGGTGAATCTCATCGTCGGTTTTTCACTCTGTGTGTTTCTCTAGTCAGGAAAAAGAAGTTCCTGGTTTTTCTCATGTGAGGGGTGGAGCTTTGTCAGACTTCCTCTGCTAAAAGCTTTTGCTTGGCCTGTCAAACCTCTGTGTGCTTCAGTCTAAAGTACTGATCCACTATTGCATATGCAGACTTATAGTGTGTGAAGTAGTCTGAACATAGTATTTAACAGAGTTCAAATAAACCCCCCCGGGATTGGACAGACATTTAGTGTAATGACCGACTTCCCATCAGCGTTAACATATGAGAAGTCCACCAGGCGGCAGCAGAGATCAACAAGAGCTCTGCCGGAGTCACAGGACAGATTTGTCAAAAAACTCAGGTTTACAACAGGAACATTTGACTCACTGGCTTCTTTGCTGAGACGTGTAGAGATATGAGGACTCTCCTGTGATTTTACTGACGATACAGTTTCAATGAGTGAACTTCCAGCCACAGGAGTGATCAGACAGTAATCTATACACACTGTGAGAGCCTTTTTGTTTAAGGTTTGTGGTTGTTGTTGGTAAACCTCCCGCCACCAGGGGGAGCCAGTGGCCAGAGTTCATTTTATCAAGGTGCAACAGGGCACAGGTGTTGGTCTTGGTTGGCGAAAGGTCTCTACACACATAATCAAACTTATTAAAAGTTAGGTGAGCCTTCCTATGAAAGTATTCATGTTAAACAACGTGTTGACTTGTTATTAGTCGCTGCTGTGGGTTTCAGGCTGTGTTGTCATAAATCTCTGACACCTTCTCTAACTGAAAAACAAACTATTTCAGTCCCAGTACATCTCTGGCTGTTAAGTTGCATTATTCTATATTATGTAGGTCACAAGTTACAGCGGCTGAGACGGTGGAGAAGCTGTAACGTTACCTGAATATCAGTTTAACAAGGTACAAAGTTGTTTATTTGTAATTATACATAACATTTTTTTACACAGGGCTCCAAGTCATAAAGATTTGAGAGCCGCTGCTTAAATCTACAATAAGTTGTTAACTAGTAACTGCGGCTGTCAGATAACAGAAGTGCAGTAAAAAGTACATGTCCCTCTGAAATGTACTTAAGTAGAAGTATGAAGTGGCAAAAATGGAAATACTCAAGTAAAGTACAAGTAAGTAAAGTAGGAGTAGCATTTATTGTTCCAGATATGAAAATATCAGAATAGTGAGGAGGATAAATGATGACACAGTTTACACAGTAATGCTCACAAGTTTATTAGCAGAGCAGTGGATAAAGGAAATAACACCACTGAGATCATTTGTTCAGACTCAAGTTCATCAGCAGCCAGTTTACAGAGCAGTCATTCAGACAGAAAGTACAACAAACATTATGCAGAGTTCAGATGATGGGTCTCACAGTCAGGTCTTTATGGGTATCAAAGGACATGAAATGGCAGATAGGTCTGCAGAGGAGGCCACAAAAAGTGAGTACACTGATGTAGTTTGCTTCAGAAAGACAGAAATCAAGAGCGTTATTAAAGAGAGCATGAAGGAACGGTGGCGAAAACATCAGGAGGAAGAGAGGAAAGGAAGGAACAGGAGAGACGAGACAATGAAGACTTAGATCTGGACACACTGGACTAAACAGCACTTTATTCAAAACAGGCAAACATAAGTCAGGCAGCTGTGGGCAACAAGAAAGGGTGGATCATGTTATGGTAGACTGTCACAAACCTGAGGAAGAAAGAAGGCAGCAGATTCAAAACCTCAGAAAGACAAAAGTACTATTTGATTTAATGAGTCAAATGTGGTGAGAAGCTAATGACAGCATGAAACGACGCCAGGAAACAAAACGCCAGGAGAGTGTTGGACCTTTTTCAGAGGAAAATAGCAGTTGGTAGTATTAAAAAGATCCCAGACATCAGATGACTGGCCTTTTGAAAGAGCCGGCAGTGATTTACACAGAGCAGCACTCAAACTCATGAGGGAGCAAAATCCAACACACAGAGACCGACTCACCTGGAGACAGCTGCACCAACATGCTGGAGACTCAGGTAAACTCCCACTGCAACGTTACAGTAATATGTTTATCAGCCTGAGGTTGAACTAATCCATGCCCGTTACATGATAATAATAATGATAGCTCGCCTGCATGCTTTTCAGTTACTGATGTTTGTGTATCTTTTGAGATCACCAGTGTTTTCAGCTATGTGAGCACAGCTAAATGTACTGAAAGATAACAAAACGGTTAGTAGTAGTTAGTTTGTTGCCACACTTTAGTATGACAGAGTTAGATTGTAGTAAGTTACGTCAGTGTAGTGAATTGTTCTTCCACTGTGTTGTTGTCCTGCACCAGGATCAAAGGTTATAGTCTTTTTTTATACAGAACTCCCATTACAGAATAATATAGTTTATCACTAGATTATAATTGATGCATTAATGTTTGAGCATCACTAATGGCTCATCTGGACTAAAGCAAAGAACATCTCAAAAACTATCACATCTAGTATTGGATGAGTAAAAGTATGACCACTGACAGATAACAGGAAAATGTAAACCAAGTATGTTTGACTTTGTCACTGTTTCTGCACCACAGTCCAGTATAAACCACATAATACAAGCAAATTTACAAAGGCATAGTCAGGTGAGGGTCAAGGCTCCTCTCCACTTTGTTAAAACAAGCGTCCTTAGGTTGATGGATGCAGATCAAACGCTGTAACGCTCACACTGCGGCACATGCTTTATAGTGAGCATGTGAAAGTGTCTTCATAATTAAATTGTTAAAGAGGGAAAGAAAATATAGTCGACCGGTGTGCAGATCAAACACGTAACCTAAGTAAGCTAACTCTACCAACTGAGCTAATCACTGTTTGTTAGGATTTCACAGTTGTCATTGCGACTGGATGATATATAATATATAAAGTAATAATAATACATCATGAATATAATCATCCTCTTTATCTCTAACTGCTCTGTTCCACTGTCACACAGACCTTCACTGCTGAGAGCTTCACTTCATCCTCAGTGTTAATGTATGGAAACATCCTCTCAGTGAAAGTGTGTGTGAAGGTGTGTATGTGTGTGTTAGTATCAGGATCAGAGAACGACAGATTTCCTCTGTTCCAGTCCAGATTCACTCTGATCCTCTGGGGCTTCTTCTGAATGCTGAGATCAGTGAATGAAGCTGGTGGTGACCATGCTGAGTATTTACCTTCATAGAACTCAATTGTCCGTAATCCAGAGCATATGTTGTCTCCCTTCCTCTGGACAGACTCTGCTGACACACCCAGTAACCAGCCTGTACTGTCTCCAACCTCGACATCCCAGCTGTGAGTCCCTGAGTTAAAGCCCTCAGAGCCCAGGACAGAGTAGTGTTCATCAAACCTCTCTGGATTGTCAGGAAGCTGCTGTCTCTCTCCTCGTCTCACACTGGTCAGATCTTCAGACAGGATGAGATATGGATCAGCAGTGTTTGGGTCCAGAATGAGAGGAGTGTAGGAGACCATGTCCTTCATCTTGTTCCAGATGTTGAAGGTCAGGTTGCCCAGGTGTTTGGCCTGGTCTATCAGAGCTCCTGAGGGCAGCTGTGGATCATCCAGCAGGGGGCGCTGCTGGACTCTTTCCACTGCAGCCTTGTAGTTGAGCAGGAATGAGACGTCTTCAGCTCTCAGCTCCTCCTCTGTGGCTCTGACTGTGTCTGAAAGAGCTGCTATCTCTCTGCTCAGAGCCTCCATCTTCTCCTTCATCATCTGACTCTTCTGCTCCTCTTCCTCCCTCAGTGCAGCCATCCTGGCCTCCTCTTCCTCCTCTAGAAACTGCTGAAGCTTCTTAAACTGCTCCTTAATCTGCCTCTCTGTGTGTCGGGCCTGGACCTTCATGTGTTCTGCTGTTTGATCAAACTCCTCTTTAACTTGTTCACAAACCTTTAACTTCTCCTTTAAGGGCTCCAGAGTTTCCTGAAGTTCCTTCTTGTGTTGTCGTGCAGCTTCATCGACGGGTCTGAATCTGTGGTTGCTGTGTTTTTCTGAATCTCTGCAGACGAGACACACTGGCTGCTGATGGTCCAGACAGAAGAGTTTGAGTTTCTCAGAGTGCAGACTGCAGAGAGCCTCTGAAGCTCTCTGATCTCTCTCCTGTAAGAAGGCCTCACACAGGTTCTTTAACACCAGGTTACGAGGTGGTTCATCCTTTGAAGATCTTCTCTTACAAACTGGACACTCAGGTGCTTGTTTTTCTCTCTGCAAACCCCAGCAGACAGAAAGTACAGTCAGTCATGGCTCCCCTCCCTCCTCTACTTTAATGTTATGTTTTTAGTCAAACTCACCTTCAGTGTGTGGAGCGTCAGCAGGTTGAAGCAGCAGTGTTGTAGTTTTCCACTTTTCTCTCCTGTAGCTGAACTCACTCAGAGGAACTTGTTAGTTTGGTCTGAAGGTGAATCTGATCGTCTGTTTTTCACTCTGTGTGTTTCTCTAGTCAGGAAAAAGAAGTTCCTGGTTTTTCTCATGTGAGGGGTGGAGCTTTGTCAGACTTCCTCTGCTAAAAGCTTTTGCTTGGCCTGTCAAACCTCTGTGTGCTTCAGTCTAAAGTACTGATCCACTATTGCATATGCAGACTTATAGTGTGTGAAGTAGTCTGAACATAGTATTTAACAGAGTTCAAATAAACCCCCCCGGGATTAGACAGACATTTAGTGTAATGACCGACTTCCCATCAGCGTTAACATATGAGAAGTCCACCAGGTGGCAGCAGAGATCAACAAGAGCTCTGCCGGAGTCACAGGACAGATTTGTGGAGTTTTGACTCGTCGGCTTCTTTGCTGAGACGTGTAGAGATATGAGGACTCTCCTGTGATTTTACTGACGATACAGTTTCAATGGGTGAACTTCCAGCCACAGGAGTGATCAGACAGTAATCTATACACACTGTGAGAGCCTTTTTGTTTAAGGTTTGTGATTGTTGTTGGTAAACCTCCCGCCACCAGGGGGAGCCAGTGGCCAGAGTTCATTTTATCAAGGTGCAACAGGGCACAGGTGTTGGTCTTGGTTGGCGAAAGGTCTCTACACACATAATTAAACTTACTAAAAGTTAGGTGAGCCTTCCTATGAAAGTATTCATGTTAAACAACGTGTTGACTTGTTATTAGTCGCTGCTGTGGGTTTCAGGCTGTGTTGTCATAAATCTCTGACACCTTCTCTAACTCTGACCTAACGAACATTAAATTGTCTTTTTATATCTGACTTTCACCAAAGCAAACAGCAGCCACTGAGCTTCTGGACCCTGCTTTATATGAACATTATACAAGGATTAACTGTAACATAGGTAGGTCCAAAACAGCCGTGACCCACCGAGACATGGACTCCTGTGTGTTCTGACCCTTTTCTATCAGAACCAGCATCAACTTTTTCAGCAGTTTGACCTTCAGTAGCTCATCTGTTGGATCGGACCACACGGGCCAGCCTTCTCTCCCCACATGCATCAATGAGCCTTGGCCGTCCATGACCCTGTCACCAGTTCACCGCTTTTCCTTCCTTGGACCACTTTTGTTCTGACCCCTGCAGACTGTTTTGGAGATGCTCTGACCCAGTCGGATATCCATCATAATTCGGCTCTTGTCAAAATAGCTGAAATCCTTACGCTTGCCCATTTTTGCTGTTGGCTGTCAGGAAGTTCGTGAAGACTCCCGAACGGCCGATTATTGTTAGTCTTATTTATTGCTGATGTTCTTCTCATGCAAATGTAGCTGTGATGAGTCCTGCACAGGGGAAGCTGCCTGACTCAAACAGAGGAGGCAGGTGTCATCCTAAAGTTTCTAGAAGGTCTTCAGTATAATCTGATTCTCTTTCTACCACATAAAACACTTTTAGTAAAATAATTGCAAAAATTTTTCCGCATGCGTCTCAAAGGCTGAATTTCAGTCCCAGTACATCTCTGGCTGTTAAGTTGAGTACAGATTATTAAGTGTATATTAAAACATGGTAATTTTGTTTTTATATGGGGCCCCAAGTCCAAAACAATTTGAGAGCCGCTGCTTAAATCTACAATAAGTTGTTAACTAGTAACTGCGGCTGTCAGATAACAGAAGTGCAGTAAAAAGTACATGTCCCTCTGAAATGTACTGAAGTAGAAGTATAAAGTGGCAAAAATGGAAATACTCCAGTAAAGTACAAGTAAATAAAGTAGGAGTAGCATTTATTGTTCCAGAGTTTCATATCAGAATAGTGAGGAGGATAAATGATGACACAGTTTACACAGTAATGCTCACAAGTTTATTAGCAGAGCAGTGGATAAAGGAAATAACACCACTGAGATCATTTGTTCAGACTCAAGTTCATCAGCAGCCAGTTTACAGAGCAGTCATTCAGACAGAAAGTACAACAAACATTATGCAGAGTTCAGATGATGGGTCTCACAGTCAGGTCTTTATGGGTATCAAAGGACATGAAATGGCAGATAGGTCTGCAGAGGAGGCCGTTTCTACTCTTCAGACCTTTTCCTCTCTGGCTGTTTCTCAGCTATCTCTTGTGGGAGGAAAAACCCTCAGACCGGGCCAGAGGCCTAACGGGGCCTCACTCTCACACTTTATACTCTTTAATGTAACTGTAATCGTTGTAGTTTTTTTTTTTTTTAACTGTCAATTTATATATTTATGCACACAACATCCTCTTCCGTATCAATACGTCTGCACAACACAAACCCAGAGTAATGCACATGTAAATATCTGCCACATTGTTCTTTCTATGCAAATAGTTGTATTATTTTTCTCTATTCTTCTATTATTCTTCTATAACCTGCATTTGTTTATTCCATATTTATATATTTTTACTTCTATTTATGTCGGCTGTATGTTTATCTACGTGTAGCACCTCATCACCAAAGCAAATTCCTTGTATGTGTAAAACACTACTTGACAATAAAGTTCTGATTCTGTAACTTAGACTTAGATGAATTGAGGTCCTTTAGTTGTAATGATAGTAATCTTCAATGAGACAATGACTCCAGTAAAGTTCAAATTAACTCAAGTTTAGTGATAATTTCAAGCAAATCAACAAATACAACAAACACATGTGTATCTGAGTTGAGAACTCCTCAAACTCTGCATTGCATTGACTGATATTTCCTGTTTCGCTCCTCCTCTTGTGGGTTTTAGGATCAGACCCACCTCCACCTCCACACATGTTCAATATTAAAACATTAGTGTATTCTACCCTACAACACTTCTAAAGAAATAAGACATCAGAAATAAATGATCATCTTGATATTAGCAGAACATTGTATATGCATGACACAGTCAACATTAACACATGTATTCCAAGTTCTTGTGCTGTATAACATGTTGACCTTCAGAGCTGCAGCCTTCTCGCAAGGGCCCCTTTTGTATTCATAAATCTAGTCTTCTACCCTTATCGGGCCCTCCTTAGACAGGGTTTTAAATCTTGGTTTACTATCATTGAGCCTGGCTCCAGGTGCTGTCAACTTTATGTGAGAATTCAACAAGGCCTTGTGTGTCTCGTTCAGCTGTGTAATTAATTTTGAATCACGGTGGTCACCCTAACTTCCCCTCCAGCCTATTTGCAAGACTGCCTGACTGGCCGGCTGTGTGCTTTTGCAAAATATGAAGGCTGCAGCCTGAGAGCAACAAGACTGGACTCTAAAGTCCACTGTATCTTTCAATAAACACCTTAAACATTATTCTAATAAACATCTTAAACATAATCCTAGTCAAGCGAGGTACATAACAGAAGACATCACGGCTAAATAAAAAATCTTCAACGCTCTCCTTCTTCACAGCCTGGGGTACAGCATGTTAGAATATGCCGGTGTATAGAACTCTCTCTTCCCCCACCCCTCATCACTCCTGTGCACAAACACTAACTGTTGCTGATTGGCTGGAACAAAGTTTTCAGGTCAGGTCCACACCTTGCCTGAAACATTTGTTTTCCATTTACAGAGCCAGGCTGTGTTTTTCAGAGCACACACAAAACAGAGAGTGAGTGAAGCGTGAGGAAATATTCCCTGAATTTAACAAAAAGTGTACTTCATTACAATCCCTCACTATCCATTTAAGGCGGCCATATTTGTTTGCTTTTCACAGTTTCCCAGTCATCATTATGCCTTGGATGTTGACAGGAATAAGATATAACATATCATAAAACAATAATACATCATAAATATAATCATCCTCTTTATCTCTAACTGCTCTGTTCTGGACGCCCAGGTAAGCGTGAATGAGAACTTGATGGCGACTACAGCGGCCATGGATCGCCGGGTGACTGCCATTGAGAAGCACCACGGATCCCCTGGCCGGGCACCCTTGGCTAGTGCTGCGTTTCAAGAGAGAAACTTACTTCATACGGCGGCGTCTGCTCGCCAGTCACAGGGAGAGGCCCCGATCCTTCTGCCACAGTCCCCGGCGTGGAGCACTGTTGTGCAGAAAGGGGTGCGCAAACCCCAAAGGCTCCCAGCCCAATGTGTCTACCGGTGGTGCTCAGGCTCGTTTGAAATGAGAACAGCAGAGGAAAATGGGAATAATTGGTACCGGCACCGAGAGCAACATTCCAGTGGTCAAAACCAAGCTGGTGAGTGTGTTTGCAACTAGATTTTCCCCCAATCTCGATGCTGATACTCTGTGCTGTTATCTAACTGAGAGATTGGGTAAACCGGTGACATGTCGGAAGATAGACTCAACCCGCAATAGGTTCAGTGCGTTTCACATCACTGCTGAGTGTAGCAGACATTTATGTACGGCGTTACTTTGAGGCCCACAGACCCAGGGTTAACAGTGTCAGCACGGCCCACGGATCGGGGGGAGGCTGATCTGCAACAGCAGCGCTCTGTGTCTGACCTTACACCTGTGGTTTTACAGGAGAGCAGCAGCCAGGTGGGTGCCATGGACAAACGGAAATAAAAGAATATCAATATCGTGTCATATAATGCCCGAGGACTACGTGTTGGGCACAGAGAAGCAGATAAATCACGCCGCTTTGTGGTGGATAATTTCTTGAAGACCTACTGTGTGTTCAAGAGGCATTTTTACCTAAACAGGATTTGGAAAGACTTCTATGGGGTGGGTGTATCTACCACTGACTTGAGCACTGAAATAGTTCAAGGTAGAATACGTGGCGACGTCGCAGTGCTAAGGCACAAAAAGTATGACCAGCTGGTTAACGTGGTCAGACTGGACGTTGACTGGGCTATAGGAATTGAGTTCATTGTGGTGGGGAAAAAAAATCATCATTCTGAGCATCTATGCACCTTATGAGAGTTCCCAGAATGAAGATGAATATCTTAACAGGTTGGCATGTGTCATGTCTTTTATTCAGGATAATGATTCCACCTGCTTTTTTATTGTGGGTGACATGAATGCTGGTTATTTGCCAATCATTTAATACAGTTTTGTTCTGATAATGGTTTGATTCTATCCAGTAAAGTACTTTTGCCTGATAATAGCTTACATCAGTGAGGCGTGGCATACTACTTCATGGTTAGATCATTGCATCTGTACAGCTGATGCACATGACTCCTTGGAGACTATAAGGCATGCAGGTGGGTAAAATAGAGTGGTCTAACTTGAAGGAAGAGGATCTTGAAGTATATTGTGTACAGTCTGACACATTGTTGAGTAACATCGACTTACCGAAAGACTCATCTGCATGCTGTGATATTAACTGTAAGAATCCGCAACATAGTACTGAGTTCTGTTCCTTGTATGACAGTATTGTGGAGTCCCTTCTTGTCCTCTGTATAAGACCAAAATGTATAAAGCTAAACCAGGATGGAATGAACATGTTGAAGAGGCTAGAAGAGCTTTCAAAGCCTGGGCTGAATCTGGCAGACAAAAACACGGCCCCCTATTTGAATAGAAGAAATGGACAAATGCAAACTTTAAATATATATATATATATATTCCTCATTAAGCACTGTCGCCTCACAGCAAGAAGGTCGTGGGTTGTGGGGTTTGTCCTTAGGTGTGAGTGTGAGCGTGAGTGGTTGTTCGTCTATGTGTGGCCCTGCGATGGACTGGCGACCTGTCCAGGTTGTACCCCGCCTTGCGCCTGATGTCAGCTGGGATTGGCTCCAGCCCCCCTGCGACCCTGTATGAGCGGTTGACGATGGATCCTCATTAAGAGGAATGAAAATATAATGCTCTGTATTTGTATAGCGCCTTTCTAGTCTTTTTGACCACTCAAACACTACATCTGGGTTCACTGAGCCTAAGTGCTCAAACAGAAACTAACATTCATACACTGGCAGTAGGGGTTCAGTATCTTGCCCAAGGACACTAAGAGATGCAGCCTGGGGGATGTCCACTGCGGGATTGAACCACCGACCTTCCGATTAATGGCCAACCCGCTCTACCTCCTGATCCACAGCCACCCCAATGACCTCTGACTCACTGGCTAGGAAACTGAAAAGCAGTAGTCCCAATGAATTCTGGAAAGAAATCAATAGAATGGATAACTGTAAAACCAACGAATGTTGATGGTGTTAGCAGTCCAGAGGAAATTACTCAGTTGTGGCAGAAACATTATTATGAGCTGTTCAACTGTGTTAAAAGTAACTTCTTTGAAGTGGGCAATATTGATAATGAGGAAGATGTGACTGTATCCCCACAAGACGTTTATGATGCAATTATGTTGCTAAAAGATAATAAGGCATGTGGTATAGATAAGATTTCTGCCGAACATTTAAAATTTGCAAGTACAAAAGTCTGTCCTCTGCTTGCCATTTGTTTTACTGGGTTTCTAGTTCATGGTATTTTACCTGATTCAATTTTATCTGTTATGTTAGTGCCAATTATTAAAGACAAAGCTGGCAAAATAAACAGCACGGATAATTACCGGCCTATAGCTCTGGCAAGCACTTTATCCAAGGTCTTGGAGAGGACCTTACTAAATAAGCTGGAACAGCTTGTCCTCACCTTTGACAACCAGTTAGGTTTTAAACCTAAACATGGCACAGATATGTGTATTTTTGCCTTGAAGGAAATTTTAGATTTGTATAACAGGCACCATTTTTATGTGTTTTATTGATTCCTCTAAAGCCTTTGATCGCGTTAATCATGAAAAACTATTTTTAAAGTTACAAAATAGAGGAGTTCCCAAATCTTTAGTGAGAATTCTGGCTTTTTGGTGTGCTCATCAATCAATGTATGTGAAATGGGGCAATTCTGTGTCGGCCCCATTCAGTGTATGCAGTGGAGTTACACAGGGAAGTATTTTGTCTCCCTTTCTTTTTAATGTCTACATGGATGATTTATCAAAGCTGTTGAACAGCTGTGGAACACGTTGTATGGTTGGTAACACAATCATCAACCACTTGATGTACGCAGACGATTTGGTGACTCTTTGTCCTTACAGTGCTGGTCTTCAACAGTTACTGAGAGTTTGCTCTCAATATGGCTCAGACTTTGACATTAAGTATAATGCAAAGAAGAGTAATATTATGATTGTTAGGAGTAGAGAAGACAGGAAACTGACATTCCCTGAATTCTCTCTGTCTGGTACTGTCCTTAGAGTCTGTGATGAGGCTAAATATTTGGGACATTATCTAACTGACGACCTGTCTGATGATAAGGACATTTACAGACAGTGTCGTATGATGTAGGCACAGGCTAATATGTTGATTCACAAATTTAGTATGTGCTCAGTATCTGTTAAGACTACCCTTTTTAGAGCATATTGTACCCCTATATATACTGCCCATTTGTGGAGGTGCGACAGAAAGAGCAGTATGCAGAAGCTCAATGTAGCATATAATGATGGTTTGAGGCTGCTGCTTAAGGTGCCACGAGCAGTGCAAGCCAAATGTTCGTTAGTGTTGGTGTGCCCACCTGCTCTGCTCTGCTGCGCAATCTCATGTACAGGTGTATGTGTAGATTATCAGACTATGCAAAAAGTATAATTTCAGCACTGACCAACCCAGCACTAAGTTCAGTTAGGCTCTTTTCCAGAATGTGGAATCATTGTATCATTATGTAAATAGGCCTAGGTAATATTGTGGACTATGTTTTTTAATATTGTGGATTGTATGATTTTTTTCACTTTGTCTTATTGTATGTCTTTGGGAATGGGTGTGTGTCCTTAATAATAAAAGCTTGTTCCACTGTCACACAGACCTTCACTGCTGAGATCTTCACTTCACCCCCAGTGTCAATCAATGGAAACATCCTCTCAGTGAAAGTGTGTGTGAAGGTGTGTATGTGTGTGTTAGTATCAGGATCAGAGAACGACAGCTTTCCTCTGTTCCAGTCCAGATTCACTCTGATCCTCTGGAGCTTCTTCTGAACTCTGAGAACAGTGGGTGGAGCTGGTGGTGACCATGCTGAGTATTTACCTTCATAGAACCCTATTCCCCATAATCCAGACTCTATGTTGTCTCCCTTCCTCTGGACAGACTCTGCTGACACACCCAGAAACCAGACTGTACTGTCTCCAACCTCGACATCCCAGCTGTGAGTCCCTGAGTTAAAGCCCTCAGAGCCCAGGACAGAGCAGAGTTCATCAAACCTCTCTGGATTGTCAGGAAGCTGCTGTCTCTCTCCTCCTCGTCTCACACTGGTCAGATCTTCAGACAGGATGAGTCTTGGATAAGCAGTGTTTGGGTCCAGAATGAGAGGAGTGTAGGAGACCATGTCCTTCATCTTGTTCCAGATGTTGAAGGTCAGGTTGCCCAGGTGTTTGGCCTGGTCTATCAGAGCTCCTGAGGGCAGCTGTGGATCATCCAGCAGGGGGCGCTGCTGGACTCTTTCCACTGCAGCCTTGTAGTTGAGCAGGAATGAGACGTCTTCAGCTCTCAGCTCCTCCTCTGTGGCTCTGACTGTGTCTGAAAGAGCTGCTATCTCTCTGCTCAGAGCCTCCATCTTCTCCTTCATCATCTGACTCTTCTGCTCCTCTTCCTCCCTCAGTGCAGCCATCCTGGCCTCCTCTTCCTCCTCTAGAAACTGCTGAAGCTTCTTAAACTGCTCCTTAATCTGCCTCTCTGTGTGTCGGGCCTGGACCTTCATGTGTTCTGCTGTTTGATCAAACTTCACTTTAACTTGTTCACAAACCTTTAACTTCTCCTTTAAGGGCTCCAGAGTTTCCTGAAGTTCCTTCTTGTGTTGTCGTGCAGCTTCATCGACGGGTCTGAATCTGTGGTTGCTGTGTTTTTCTGAATCTCTGCAGACGACACACACTGGCTGCTGATGGTCCAGACAGAAGAGTTTGAGTTTCTCAGAGTGCAGACTGCAGAGAGCCTCTGAAGCTCTCTGATCTCTCTCCTGTAAGAAGGCCTCACACAGGTTCTTTAACACCAGGTTTAAAGGTGGTTCTTCCTTTGAAGATCTTCTCTTACAAACTGGACACTCAGGTGCTTGTTTTTCTCTCCACCAGCTCTTCAGACAGACTTTACAGAAGCTGTGGCTACATGACAGAAGAACAGGATCTCTGAAGACCTCCTGACAGACCGGACAGCAGAGATCCTCCTCTGATCTGGAAGCCATTTTGTCTCTGAAGCTAAAATCACAGCAGACAGAAAGTACAGTCAGTCATGGCTCCCCTCCCTCCTCTACTTTAATGTTATGTTTTTAGTCAAACTCACCTTCAGTGTGTGGAGCGTCAGCAGGTTGAAGCAGCAGTTTCAGGCTGTGTTGTCATAAATCTCTGACACCTTCTCTAACTGAAAAACAAACTATTTCAGTCCCAGTACATCTCTGGCTGTTAAGTTGCATTATTCTATATTATGTAGGTCACAAGTTACAGCGGCTGAGACGGTGGAGAAGCTGTAACGTTACCTGAATATCAGTTTAACAAGGTACAAAGTTGTTTATTTGTAATTATACATAACATTTTTTTACACAGGGCTCCAAGTCATAAAGATTTGAGAGCCGCTGCTTAAATCTACAATAAGTTGTTAACTAGTAACTGCGGCTGTCAGATAACAGAAGTGCAGTAAAAAGTACATGTCCCTCTGAAATGTACTTAAGTAGAAGTATGAAGTGGCAAAAATGGAAATACTCAAGTAAAGTACAAGTAAGTAAAGTAGGAGTAGCATTTATTGTTCCAGAGTTTCATATCAGAATAGTGAGGAGGATAAATGATGACACAGTTTACACAGTAATGCTCACAAGTTTATTAGCAGAGCAGTGGATAAAGGAAATAACACCACTGAGATCATTTGTTCAGACTCAAGTTCATCAGCAGCCAGTTTACAGAGCAGTCATTCAGACAGAAAGTACAACAAACATTATGCAGAGTTCAGATGATGGGTCTCACAGTCAGGTCTTTATGGGTATCAAAGGACATGAAATGGCAGATAGGTCTGCAGAGGAGGCCACAAAAAGTGAGTACACTGATGTAGTTTGCTTCAGAAAGACAGAAATCAAGAGCGTTATAAAAGAGAGCATGAAGGAAAGGTGGCGAAAACATCAGGAGGAAGAGAGGAAAGGAAGGAACAGGAGAGACGAGACAATGAAGACTTAGATCTGGACACACTGGACTAAACAGCACTTTATTCAAAACAGGCAAACATAAGTCAGGCAGCTGTGGGCAACAAGAAAGGGTGGATCATGTTATGGTAGACTGTCACAAACCTGAGGAAGAAAGAAGGCAGCAGATTCAAAACCTCAGAAAGACAAAAGTACTATTTGATTTAATGAGTCAAATGTGGTGAGAAGCTAATGACGGCATGAAACGACGCCAGGAAACAAAACGCCAGGAGAGTGTTGGACCTTTTTCAGAGGAAAATAGCAGTTGGTAGTATTAAAAAGATCCCAGACATCAGATGACTGGCCTTTTGAAAGAGCCGGCAGTGATTTACACAGAGCAGCACTCAAACTCACGAGGGAGCAAAATCCAACACACAGAGACCGACTCACCTGGAGACTAATCCATGCCCGTTACATGATAATAATAATGATAGCTCGCCTGCATGCTTTTCAGCTACTGATGTTTGTGTATCTTTTGAGATCACCAGTGTTTTCAGCTATGTGAGCACAGCTAAATGTACTGAAAGATGACAAAACGGTTAGTAGTAGTTAGTTTGTTGCCACACTTTAGTATGACAGAGTTAGATTGTAGTAAGTTACGTCAGTGTAGTGAATTGTTCTTCCACTGTGTTGTTGTCCTGCACCAGGATCAAAAGTTATAGTCTTTTTTTTATACAGAACTCCCATTACAGAATAATATAGTTTATCACTAGATTATAATTAATGATGCATTAATGTTTGAGCATCACTAATGGCTCATCTGGACTAAAGCAAAGAACATCTCAAAAACTATCACATCTAGTATTGGATGAGTAAAAGTATGACCACTGACAGATAACAGGAAAATGTAAACCAAGTATGTTTAACTTTGTCACTGTTTCTGCACCACAGTCCAGTATAAACCACATAATACAAGCAGATTTACAAAGGCATAGTCAGGTGAGGGTCAAGGCTCCTCTCCACTTTGTTAAAACAAGCGTCCTTAGGTTGATGGATGCGGATCAAACGCTGTAACGCTCACACTGCGGCACATGCTTTATAGTGAGCATGTGAAAGTGTCTTCATAATTAAATTGTTAAAGAGGGAAAGAAAATATAGTCGACCGGTGTGCAGATCAAACACGTAACCTAAGTAAGCTAACTCTACCAACTGAGCTAATCACTGTTTGTTAGGATTTCACAGTTGTCATTGCGACTGGATGATATTTAATATATAAAGTAATAATAATACATCATGAATATAATCATCCTCTTTATCTCTAACTGCTCTGTTCCACTGTCACACAGACCTTCACTGCTGACAGCTTCAACTCATCCAAAGTTTCAATATATGGAAACATCCTCTCAGTGAAAGTGTGTGTGAAGGTGTGTATGTGTGTGTTAGTATCAGGATCAGAGAACGACAGCTTTCCTCTGTTCCAGTCCAGATTCACTCTGATCCTCTGGGGCTTCTTCTGAACTCTGAGATCAGTGGGTGGAGCTGATGGTGACCATGCAAAGTATTCACCTTCATAGAACCAGATTCCCCATAATCCAGACTCTATGTTGTCTCCCTTCCTCTGGACAGACTCTGCTGACACACCCAGAAACCAGACTGTACTGTCTCCAACCTCGACATCCCAGCTGTGAGTCCCTGAGTTAAAGCCTTCAGAGCCCAGGACAGAGCAGAGTTTATCAATCCTCTCTGGATTGTCAGGAAGCTGCTGACTCTCTCCGAGTCTCACACTGGTCAGATCTTCAGACAGGATGAGTCTTGGACCAGCAGTGTTTGGGTCCAGAATGAGAGGAGTGTAGGAGACCATGTCCTTCATCTTGTTCCAGATGTTGAAGGTCAGGTTGCCCAGGTGTTTGGCCTGGTCTATCAGAGCTCCTGAGGGCAGCTGTGGATCATCCAGCAGGGGGCGCTGCTGGACTCTTTCCACTGCAGCCTTGTAGTTGAGCAGGAATGAGACGTCTTCAGCTCTCAGCTCCTCCTCTGTGGCTCTGACTGTGTCTGAAAGAGCTGCTATCTCTCTGCTCAGAGCCTCCATCTTCTCCTTCATCATCTGACTCTTCTGCTCCTCTTCCTCCCTCAGTGCAGCCATCCTGGCCTCCTTTTCCTCCTCTAGAAACTGCTGAAGCTTCTTAAACTGCTCCTTAATCTGCCTCTCTGTGTGTCGGGCCTGGACCTTCATGTGTTCTGCTGTTTGATCAAACTCCTCTTTAACTTGTTCACAAACCTTTAACTTCTCCTTTAAGGGCTCCAGAGTTTCCTGAAGTTCCTTCTTGTGTTGTCGTGCAGCTTCATCGACGGGTCTGAATCTGTGGTTGCTGTGTTTTTCTGAATCTCTGCAGACGACACACACTGGCTGCTGATGGTCCAGACAGAAGAGTTTGAGTTTCTCAGAGTGCAGACTGCAGAGAGCCTCTGAAGCTCTCTGATCTCTCTCCTGTAAGAAGGCCTCACACAGCTTCTTTAACACCAGGTTACGAGGTGGATCATCCTTTGAAGATCTTCTGTTACAAACTGGACACTCGGGTGCTTGTTTCTGTCTCCACCAGCTCTTCAGACAGACTTTACAGAAGCTGTGGCTACATGACAGAACAACAGGATCTCTGAAGACCTCCTGACAGACCGGACAGCAGAGATCCTCCCTGATCTGGAAGCCATTTTGTCTCTGAAGCTGAAACCCCAGCAGACAGAAAGTACAGTCAGTCATGGCTCCCCTTTCTCCTCTACTTTAATGTTATGTTTTTAGTCAAACTCACCTTCAGTGTGTGGAGCGTCAGCAGGTTGAAGCAGCAGTGTTGTAGTTTTCCACTTTTCTCTCCTGTAGCTGAACTCACTCAGAGGAACTTGTTAGTTTGGTCTGAAGGTGAATCTGATCGTCTGTTTTTCACTCTGTGTGTTTCTCTAGTCAGGAAAAAGAAGTTCCTGGTTTTTCTCATGTGAGGGGTGGAGCTTTGTCAGACTTCCTCTGCTAAAAGCTTTTGCTTGGCCTGTCAAACCTCTGTGTGCTTCAGTCTAAAGTACTGATCCACTATTGCATATGCAGACTTATAGTGTGTGAAGTAGTCTGAACATAGTATTTAACAGAGTTCAAATAAACCCCCCCGGGATTGGACAGACATTTAGTGTAATGACCGACTTCCCATCAGCGTTAACTTATGAGAAGTCCACATGGCGGCAGCAGAGATCAACAAGAGCTCTGCCGGAGTCACAGGACAGATTTGTCAAAAAACTCAGGTTTACAACAGGAACATTTGACTCACTGGCTTCTTTGCTGAGACGTGTAGAGATATGAGGACTCTCCTGTGATTTTACTGACGATACAGTTTCAATGAGTGAACTTCCAGCCACAGGAGTGATCAGACAGTAATCTATACACACTGTGAGAGCCTTTTTGTTTAAGGTTTGTGATTGTTGTTGGTAAACCTCCCGCCACCAGGGGGAGCCAGTGGCCAGAGTTCATTTTATCAAGGTGCAACAGGGCACAGGTGTTGGTCTTGGTTGGCAAAAGGTCTCTGCACACATAATCAAACTTACTAAAAGTTAGGAGAGCCTTCCTATGAAAGTATTCATGTTAAACAACGTGTTGACTTGTTATTAGTCGCTGCTGTGGGTTTCAGGCTGTGTTGTCATAAATCTCTGACACCTTCTCTAACTCTGACCTAACGAACATTAAATTGTCTTTTTATATCTGACTTTCACCAAAGCAAACAGCAGCCACTGAGCTTCTGGACCCTGCTTTATATGAACATTATACAAGGATTAACTGTAACATAGGTAGGTCCAAAACAGCCGTGACCCACCGAGACATGGACTCCTGTGTGTTCTGACCCTTTTCTATCAGAACCAGCATCAACTTTTTCAGCAGTTTGACCTTCAGTAGCTCATCTGTTGGATCGGACCACACGGGCCAGCCTTCTCTCCCCACATGCATCAATGAGCCTTGGCCGTCCATGACCCTGTCACCAGTTCACCGCTTTTCCTTCCTTGGACCACTTTTGTTCTGACCCCTGCAGACTGTTTTGGAGATGCTCTGACCCAGTCGGATATCCATCATAATTCGGCTCTTGTCAAAATAGCTGAAATCCTTACGCTTGCCCATTTTTGCTGTTGGCTGTCAGGAAGTTCGTGAAGACTCCCGAACGGCCGATTATTGTTAGTCTTATTTATTGCTGATGTTCTTCTCATGCAAATGTAGCTGTGATGAGTCCTGCACAGGGGAAGCTGCCTGACTCAAACTGAGGAGGCAGGTGTCATCCTAAAGTTTCTAGAAGGTCTTCAGTATAATCTGATTCTCTTTCTACCACATAAAACACTTTTAGTAAAATAATTGCAAAAATTTTTCCGCATGCGTCTCAAAGGCTGAATTTCAGTCCCAGTACATCTCTGGCTGTGAAGTTGAGTACAGATTATTAAGTGTATATTAAAACATGGTAATTTTGTTTTTATATGGGGCCCCAAGTCCAAAACAATTTGAGAGCCGCTGCTTAAATCTACAATAAGTTGTTAACTAGTAACTGCGGCTGTCAGATAACAGAAGTGCAGTAAAAAGTACACGTCCCTCTGAAATGTACTGAAGTAGAAGTATAAAGTGGCAAAAATGGAAATACTCAAGTAAAGTACAAGTAAATAAAGTAGGAGTAGCATTTATTGTTCCAGAGTTTCATATCAGAATAGTGAGGAGGATAAATGATGACACAGTTTACACAGTAATGCTCACAAGTTTATTAGCAGAGCAGTGGATAAAGGAAATAACACCACTGAGATCATTTGTTCAGACTCAAGTTCATCAGCAGCCAGTTTACAGAGCAGTCATTCAGACAGAAAGTACAACAAACATTATGCAGAGTTCAGATGATGGGTCTCACAGTCAGGTCTTTATGGGTATCAAAGGACATGAAATGGCAGATAGGTCTGCAGAGGAGGCCGTTTCTACTCTTCAGACCTTTTCCTCTCTGGCTGTTTCTCAGCTATCTCTTGTGGGAGGGAAAACCCTCAGACCGGGCCAGAGGCCTAACGGGGCCTCACTCTCACACTTTATACTCTTTAATGTAACTGTAATCGTTGTAGTTTTTTTTAGTTTTTTTAATTGTCAATTTATATATTTATGCACACAACATCCTCTTCCGTATCAATACGTCTGCACAACACAAACCCAGTGTAATGCACATGTAAATATCTGCCACATTGTTCTTTCTATGCAAATAGTTGTATTATTTTTCTCAATTCTTCTATTATTCTTCTATAACCTGCATTTGTTTATTCCATATTTATATATTTTTACTTCTATTTATGTCGGCTGTATGTTTATCTACATGTAGCACCTCATCACCAAAGCAAATTCCTTGTATGTGTAAAACACTACTTGGCAATAAAGCTCCTTCTGATTCTGATTCTGTAACTTAGACTTAGATGAATTGAGGTCCTTTAGTTGTAATGATAGTAATCTTCAATGAGACAATGACTCCAGTAAAGTTCAAATTAACTCAAGTTTAGTGATAATTTCAAGCAAATCAACAAATACAACAAACACATGTGTATCTGAGTTGAGAACTCCTCAAACTCTGCATTGCATTGACTGATATTTCCTGTTTCGCTCCTCCTCTTGTGGGTTTTAGGATCAGACCCACCTCCACCTCCACACATGTTCAATATTAAAACATTAGTGTATTCTACCCTACAACACTTCTAAAGAAATAAGACATCAGAAATAAATGATCATCTTGATATAAGCAGAACATTGTATATGCATGACACAGTCAACATTAACACATGTATTCCAAGTTCTTGTGCTGTATAACATGTTGACCTTCAGAGCTGCAGCCTTCTCGCAAGGTCCCCTTTTGTATTCATAAATCTAGTCTTCTACACTTATCGGGCCCTCCTTAGACAGGGTTTTAAATCTTGGTTTACTATCATCGAGCCTGGCTCCAGGTGCTGTCAACTTTATGTGAGAATTCAACAAGGCCTTGTGTGTCTCGTTCAGCTGTGTAATTAATTTTGAATCACGGTGGTCACCCTAACTTCCCCTCCAGCCTATTTGCAAGACTGCCTGACTGGCCGGCTGTGTGCTTTTGCAAAATATGAAGGCTGCAGCCTGAGAGCAACAAGACTGGACTCTAAACTCCACTGTATCTTTCAATAAACACCTTAAACATTATTCTAATAAACATCTTAAACATAATCCTAATCAAGCGAGGTACATAACAGAAGACATCACGGCTAAATAAAAAATCTTCAACGCTCTCCTTCTTCACAGCCTGGGGTACAGCATGTTAGAATATGCCGGTGTATAGAACTCTCTCTTCCCCCACCCCTCATCACTCCTGTGCACAAACACTAACTGTTGCTGATTGGCTGGAACATAGTTTCAGGTCAGGTCCACACCTTGCCTGAAACATTTGTTTTCCATTTACAGAGCCAGGCTGTGTTTTTCAGAGCACACACAAAACAGAGAGTGAGTGAAGCGTGAGGAAATATTCCCTGAATTTAACAAAAAGTGTACTTCATTACAATCCCTCACTATCCATTTAAGGCGGCCATATTTGTTTGCTTTTCACAGTTTCCCATTCATCATTACGCCTTGGATGTTGACAGGAATAAAATATAACATATAATAAAACATTAATACATCATGAATATAATCATCCTCTTTATCTCTAACTGCTCTGTTCCACTGTCACACAGACCTTCACTGCTGACAGCTTCACTTCATCTCCAGTGTCAATCAATGGAAACAGCCTCTCAGTGAAAGTGTGTGTGAAGGTGTGTATGTGTGTGTTAGTATCAGGATCAGAGAACGACAGCTTTCCTCTGTTCCAGTCCAGATTCACTCTGATCCTCTGGAGCTTCTTCTGCACTCTGAAATCAGTGGGTGGAGCTGGTGGAGACCATGCTGAGTATTTATCTTCATAGAACCCTATTCTCAAGAATCCAGACTCTATGTATTCCTTCCTCAGGACAGACTCTGCTAACACACCCAGTTCCCAGACTGTACTGTCTCCAACCTCGACATCCCAGCTGTGAGTTCCTGAGTTAAAGCCCTCAGAGCCCAGGACAGCGCAGTAATAATAATCAAACCTCTCTGGATTGTCAGGAAGCTGCTGTCTCTCTCCGAGTCTCACACTGGTCAGATCTTCAGACAGGATGAGTTCTGGATGAGCAGTGTTTGGGTCCAGAATGAGAGGAGTGTAGGAGACCATGTCCTTCATCTTGTTCCAGATGTTGAAGGTCAGGTTGCCCAGGTGTTTGGCCTGGTCTATCAGAGCTCCTGAGGGCAGCTGTGGATCATCCAGCAGGGGGCGCTGCTGGACTCTTTCCACTGCAGCCTTGTAGTTGAGCAGGAATGAGACGTCTTCAGCTCTCAGCTCCTCCTCTGTGGCTCTGACTGTGTCTGAAAGAGCTGCTATCTCTCTGCTCAGAGCCTCCATCTTCTCCTTCATCATCTGACTCTTCTGCTCCTCTTCCTCCCATAGTGCCACCAACCTGGTCACCTCTTCCTCCTCTAGAAACTGCTGAAGCTTCTTAAACTGCTCCTTAATCTGCCTCTCTGTGTGTCGGGCCTGGACCTTCATGTGTTCTGCTGTTTGATCAAACTTCACTTTAACTTGTTCACAAACCTTTAACTTCTCCTTTAAGGGCTCCAGAGTTTCCTGAAGTTCCTTCTTGTGTTGTCGTGCAGCTTCATCGACGGGTCTGAATCTGTGGTTGCTGTGTTTTTCTGAATCTCTGCAGACGAGACACACTGGCTGCTGATGGTCCAGACAGAAGAGTTTGAGTTTCTCAGAGTGCAGACTGCAGAGAGCCTCTGAAGCTCTCTGATCTCTCTCCTGTAAGAAGGCCTCACACAGGTTCTTTAACACCAGGTTACGAGGTGGATCATCCTTTGAAGATCTTCTCTTACAAACTGGACACTCAGGTGCTTGTTTTTCTCTCCACCAGCTCTTCAGACAGACTTTACAGAAGCTGTGGCTACATGACAGAACAACAGGATCTCTGAAGACCTCCTGACAGACCGGACAGCAGAGATCCTCCTCTGATCTGGAAGCCATTTTGTCTCTGAAGCTGAAACCCCAGCAGACAGAAAGTACAGTCAGTCATGGCTCCCCTCCCTCCTCTACTTTAATGTTATGTTTTTAGTCAAACTCACCTTCAGTGTGTGGAGCGTCAGCAGGTTGAAGCAGCAGTGTTGTAGTTTTCCACTTTTCTCTCCTGTAGCTGAACTCAGTCAGAGGAAGTTGTTAGTTTGGTCTGAAGGTGAATCTGATCGTCTGTTTTTCACACTGTGTGTTTCTCTAGTCAGGAAAAAGACGAAAAGACCGATTCCTGGTTTTTCTCATGAGGGGTGGAGCTTTGTCAGACTTCCTCTGCTAAAAGCTTTTGCTTGGCCTGTCAAACCTCTGTGTGCTTCAGTCTAAAGTACTGATCCACTATTGCATATGCAGACTTATAGTGTGTGAAGTAGTCTGAACATAGTATTTAACAGAGTTAAAATAAACCCCCCGGGATTGGACAGACATTGAGTGTAATGACCGACTTCGCATCAGCGTTAACTTATGAGAAGTCCACCAGGCGGCAGCAGAGATCAACAAGAGCTCTGCCGGAGTCACAGGACAGATTTGTCAAAAAACTCAGGTTTACAACAGGAGCATTTGACTCACTGGCTTCTTTGCTGAGACGTGTAGAGATATGAGGACTCTCCTGTGATTTTACTGACGATACAGTTTCAATGAGTGAACTTCCAGCCACAGGAGTGATCAGATAGTAATCTATACACACTGTGAGAGCCTTTTTGTTTAAGGTTTGTGGTTGTTGTTGGTAAACCTCCCGCCACCAGGGGGAGCCAGTGGCCAGAGTTCATTTTATCAAGGTGCAACAGGGCACAGGTGTTGGTCTTGGTTGGCGAAAGGTCTCTACACACATAATTAAACTTACTAAAAGTTAGGTGAGCCTTCCTATGAAAGTATTCATGTTAAACAACGTGTTGACTTGTTATTAGTCGCTGCTGTGGGTTTCAGGCTGTGTTGTCATAAATCTCTGACACCTTCTCTAACTCTGACCTAACGAACATTAAATTGTCTTTTTATATCTGACTTTCACCAAAGCAAACAGCAGCCACTGAGCTTCTGGACCCTGCTTTATATGAACATTATACAAGGATTAACTGTAACATAGGTAGGTCCAAAACAGCCGTGACCCACCGAGACATGGACTCCTGTGTGTTCTGACCCTTTTCTATCAGAACCAGCATCAACTTTTTCAGCAGTTTGACCTTCAGTAGCTCATCTGTTGGATCGGACCACACGGGCCAGCCTTCTCTCCCCACATGCATCAATGAGCCTTGGCCGTCCATGACCCTGTCACCAGTTCACCGCTTTTCCTTCCTTGGACCACTTTTGTTCTGACCCCTGCAGACTGTTTTGGAGATGCTCTGACCCAGTCGGATATCCATCATAATTCGGCTCTTGTCAAAATAGCTGAAATCCTTACGCTTGCCCATTTTTGCTGTTGGCTGTCAGGAAGTTCGTGAAGACTCCCGAACGGCCGATTATTGTTAGTCTTATTTATTGCTGATGTTCTTCTCATGCAAATGTAGCTGTGATGAGTCCTGCACAGGGGAAGCTGCCTGACTCAAACTGAGGAGGCAGGTGTCATCCTAAAGTTTCTAGAAGGTCTTCAGTATAATCTGATTCTCTTTCTACCACATAAAACACTTTTAGTAAAATAATTGCAAAAATTTTTCCGCATGCGTCTCAAAGGCTGAATTTCAGTCCCAGTACATCTCTGGCTGTGAAGTTGAGTACAGATTATTAAGTGTATATTAAAACATGGTAATTTTGTTTTTATATGGGGCCCCAAGTCCAAAACAATTTGAGAGCCGCTGCTTAAATCTACAATAAGTTGTTAACTAGTAACTGCGGCTGTCAGATAACAGAAGTGCAGTAAAAAGTACACGTCCCTCTGAAATGTACTGAAGTAGAAGTATAAAGTGGCAAAAATGGAAATACTCAAGTAAAGTACAAGTAAGTAAAGTAGGAGTAGCATTTATTGTTCCAGAGTTTCATATCAGAATAGTGAGGAGGATAAATGATGACACAGTTTACACAGTAATGCTCACAAGTTTATTAGCAGAGCAGTGGATAAAGGAAATAACACCACTGAGATCATTTGTTCAGACTCAAGTTCATCAGCAGCCAGTTTACAGAGCAGTCATTCAGACAGAAAGTACAACAAACATTATGCAGAGTTCAGATGATGGGTCTCACAGTCAGGTCTTTATGGGTATCAAAGGACATGAAATGGCAGATAGGTCTGCAGAGGAGGCCGTTTCTACTCTTCAGACCTTTTCCTCTCTGGCTGTTTCTCAGCTATCTCTTGTGGGAGGAAAAACCCTCAGACCGGGCCAGAGGCCTAACGGGGCCTCACTCTCACACTTTATACTCTTTAATGTAACTGTAATCGTTGTAGTTTTTTTTGTTTTTTTAATTGTCAATTTATATTTATGCACACAACATCCTCTTCCGTATCAATACGTCTGCACAACACAAACCCAGAGTAATGCACATGTAAATATCTGCCACATTGTTCTTTCTATGCAAATAGTTGTATTATTTTTCTCTATTCTTCTATTATTCTTCTATAACCTGCATTTGTTTATTCCATATTTATATATTTTTACTTCTATTTATGTCGGCTGTATGTTTATCTACATGTAGCACCTCATCACCAAAGCAAATTCCTTGTATGTGTAAAACACTACTTGGCAATAAAGCTCCTTCTGATTCTGATTCTGTAACTTAGACTTAGATGAATTGAGGTCCTTTAGTTGTAATGATAGTAATCTTCAATGAGACAATGACTCCAGTAAAGTTCAAATTAACTCAAGTTTAGTGATAATTTCAAGCAAATCAACAAATACAACAAACACATGTGTATCTGAGTTGAGAACTCCTCAAACTCTGCATTGCATTGACTGATATTTCCTGTTTCGCTCCTCCTCTTGTGGGTTTTAGGATCAGACCCACCTCCACCTCCACACATGTTCAATATTAAAACATTAGTGTATTCTACCCTACAACACTTCTAAAGAAATAAGACATCAGAAATAAATGATCATCTTGATATAAGCAGAACATTGTATATGCATGACACAGTCAACATTAACACATGTATTCCAAGTTCTTGTGCTGTATAACATGTTGACCTTCAGAGCTGCAGCCTTCTCGCAAGGTCCCCTTTTGTATTCATAAATCTAGTCTTCTACACTTATCGGGCCCTCCTTAGACAGGGTTTTAAATCTTGGTTTACTATCATCGAGCCTGGCTCCAGGTGCTGTCAACTTTATGTGAGAATTCAACAAGGCCTTGTGTGTCTCGTTCAGCTGTGTAATTAATTTTGAATCACGGTGGTCACCCTAACTTCCCCTCCAGCCTATTTGCAAGACTGCCTGACTGGCCGGCTGTGTGCTTTTGCAAAATATGAAGGCTGCAGCCTGAGAGCAACAAGACTGGACTCTAAACTCCACTGTATCTTTCAATAAACACCTTAAACATTATTCTAATAAACATCTTAAACATAATCCTAATCAAGCGAGGTACATAACAGAAGACATCACGGCTAAATAAAAAATCTTCAACGCTCTCCTTCTTCACAGCCTGGGGTACAGCATGTTAGAATATGCCGGTGTATAGAACTCTCTCTTCCCCCACCCCTCATCACTCCTGTGCACAAACACTAACTGTTGCTGATTGGCTGGAACATAGTTTCAGGTCAGGTCCACACCTTGCCTGAAACATTTGTTTTCCATTTACAGAGCCAGGCTGTGTTTTTCAGAGCACACACAAAACAGAGAGTGAGTGAAGCGTGAGGAAATATTCCCTGAATTTAACAAAAAGTGTACTTCATTACAATCCCTCACTATCCATTTAAGGCGGCCATATTTGTTTGCTTTTCACAGTTTCCCATTCATCATTACGCCTTGGATGTTGACAGGAATAAAATATAACATATAATAAAACATTAATACATCATGAATATAATCATCCTCTTTATCTCTAACTGCTCTGTTCCACTGTCACACAGACCTTCACTGCTGACAGCTTCACTTCATCTCCAGTGTCAATCAATGGAAACAGCCTCTCAGTGAAAGTGTGTGTGAAGGTGTGTATGTGTGTGTTAGTATCAGGATCAGAGAACGACAGCTTTCCTCTGTTCCAGTCCAGATTCACTCTGATCCTCTGGAGCTTCTTCTGCACTCTGAAATCAGTGGGTGGAGCTGGTGGAGACCATGCTGAGTATTTATCTTCATAGAACCCTATTCTCAAGAATCCAGACTCTATGTATTCCTTCCTCAGGACAGACTCTGCTAACACACCCAGTTCCCAGACTGTACTGTCTCCAACCTCGACATCCCAGCTGTGAGTTCCTGAGTTAAAGCCCTCAGAGCCCAGGACAGCGCAGTAATAATAATCAAACCTCTCTGGATTGTCAGGAAGCTGCTGTCTCTCTCCTCCTCGTCTCACACTGGTCAGATCTTCAGACAGGATGAGTTCTGGATGAGCAGTGTTTGGGTCCAGAATGAGAGGAGTGTAGGAGACCATGTCCTTCATCTTGTTCCAGATGTTGAAGGTCAGGTTGCCCAGGTGTTTGGCCTGGTCTATCAGAGCTCCTGAGGGCAGCTGTGGATCATCCAGCAGGGGGCGCTGCTGGACTCTTTCCACTGCAGCCTTGTAGTTGAGCAGGAATGAGACGTCTTCAGCTCTCAGCTCCTCCTCTGTGGCTCTGACTGTGTCTGAAAGAGCTGCTATCTCTCTGCTCAGAGCCTCCATCTTCTCCTTCATCATCTGACTCGTCGGGCCTGGACCTTCATGTGTTCTGCTGTTTGATCAAACTTCACTTTAACTTGTTCACAAACCTTTAACTTCTCCTTTAAGGGCTCCAGAGTTTCCTGAAGTTCCTTCTTGTGTTGTCGTGCAGCTTCATCGACGGGTCTGAATCTGTGGTTGCTGTTTTTTTCTGAATCTCTGCAGACGAGACACACTGGCTGCTGATGGTCCAGACAGAAGAGTTTGAGTTTCTCAGAGTGCAGACTGCAGAGAGCCTCTGAAGCTCTCTGATCTCTCTCCTGTAAGAAGGCCTCACACAGGTTCTTTAACACCAGGTTACGAGGTGGATCATCCTTTGAAGATCTTCTCTTACAAACTGGACACTCAGGTGCTTGTTTTTCTCTCCACCAGCTCTTCAGACAGACTTTACAGAAGCTGTGGCTACATGACAGAACAACAGGATCTCTGAAGACCTCCTGACAGACC